TTACTCTTAAACTAAAAAGTATTGTATATCCAACAATTATTTTATTTCTCACATCCTCAATACAGATAGAAACATAAAAGAGGTTAATGATACCAGAAAACTTTGCTAATTATGCCCTTATCAATATCATTAAATAAGAAAAAGCTACGATCCAAGCTCTTAGGTACTCCATTTGTAACAAGGGTTCAGTTTGAGTGGACTTCATTATTAACAACCTGTTGCTTTCTTCCCTACAACCATTCTACAGTCCAATTAACTAGTTTTCCCACTACCCACTCATCTAATTTTCTTAGCTAATCTTTTGGTTAGCATAATATCTCTTTAAAATCTTTGCCATTTTATGTATGTTTTCAGAAGGGGGTATGTTTTGTGTGCTTGTTGAAATGGGAAAAATTGTGAATGAACCCTGAGCTAATAATGCAAAATACTCCTCATAATATGAAACACATGTGCAAAATAATAAAAATGATATATAAATATATATATATATATTACGTATCTACCCAATACTATTAATGAAACTAACAAAAAAATGGAACTTATAATACACAATAACTACATGTTTGCTTCACCTACATTTATTGATTCCCTCTCTCTAAAAGTGACATCAATAAATACAAAACTTTAAATGATCCTTCCTAACAATACGTATTGCCCAATGAAAGCCCATTAAATTGCTCTGACAGTCTATTTTAGATCAGCTTGACATCAAATATAAATGTAAGATGAGATTTTCAAAGAAATAAAACTGAGAAACACTCGTATCTTAAAACTAGGAGAAAAAAATTATAAAAAATCATTTATACAAATAATAAATAACATCAAGTGAAAAGGATATTTTTAAATAAAATATTGTTGCTACAGGTCTCTCCCCAACAGACAAATTTTTTGTTAGTAACTCGTTTTGACCAGAGGTTTGTCATAAAATTCTGAGTAACTGCCATTCATGTTCACCTTTAAGTTACTTTAGACAAATGCCTCACAAATTAAAAATCAAACATGGGCTAGAAATAGCACCTCCCACTTGTATTCAACTGTCAGTTTTGGCTGGTGCAAAATCATGTGCTCACTGACATATCCAATAATGACATCATACTGTCAGTTGTAGCCTGACTTATAGCCATCTTCAGAGATAATAGCAAATGCTTTGCTCAATTATTCCAAGCTATGTAATAACTTCCCTATTCAGTTAATAAATTAATATTTTTTTATCCACACTTGTCAGGGGCTCAAAGTATTGAATACAAGTTTAAAAAAATTACAGATTACTGCCAAATATGAAAACTGGAACATTCAGTCTTTCCACAGTGATATATTGGAATACTAGGATATCTGATTCCCTTTGGTAAGTGACTATGCCACATTATTTTTAAGCTGCAGAGTGAAGTACCAGGATAGAATAATGAAATTAAATATAAGAATATTATATTGTCCAAGTATTAATATTATAATTAGTAATAATAAAGGTTTAACACACAACTCAGTTGAGGCCAAACCTTGTTTTAAATTACACTCATGCTAAACTAGTTTCAAAGGCATTCATGAACAGTCATGACTCAAAAATGTCTCAGAATGAAAGACAAGCATTATACAAGCAATTAAACGTGTGAAGCCATTAAATACAGAATTCCAGCTGAAAAAGGAGGAATGAAGTATATCTCCTCATGGCAGCAGTAGCATCTAATAGAAATATGGTCATTGGTCATTTGTTTTGTCCATCACTCAAAGTTTCACACAATTTAAATGGAAGAGGATTTCCTACATAACACACTTCCAATTAACCCTAAAGTGCCAGCATGGAGTCACTATGACTCAATACCAACTCAAGTTAATGACTGAAAATTTAACACTGGCATTTTAGAGTTAATAACCATGCATGAATGTCAAATACCATTAGTGAATAGATTATGAATAAGTGAACCTGTTGAGGTTTTTTTTTAATTATTTTACTCTCTATTTCTAATGTTGTAATTTGTCTGTCAGCTAGAGAGAGAGAGAGCTGTGGGTTATATAGTGTGACATCAAGTTAAAGTTAGTTCTAAAACTCTCTAAAACAAGGCTCAGTTATAATAAATGGGTCAGTGAAGCCTCAATACATAGTTGAGATAAGTTATTTCAGAATAGAGCATTGTTGTCAGTGTCTGCTAACCAGGAAATGCACCATATTGCACCATTTTGCTGTAATGAATAAAAAATTCTCTAAAGGAGTAAAGCATGCCCTCAGAACATCTTGGAAGGTGACTGCCTACAGTGTTCACAGCACTTTACCACATGTTAAGATTATAATTTTTTTTAAATCTTTCTCAAAGAAATTTCTGGAAATTAGCAGCCCTATAAAGATTTTCAAGCTACAAAAGAGACTTAAGCTTTTTATTTTTTTTACTAGTGCACACAACAAGATGTGATTTAATTCATTAGTTAAAAAATATTAGATCTTGAATCAACTTAATTTTGTACAGAAGAACCTTTAGCTTTCTGGATTTACATAAAAAGGGGCAATCTTAACCCATTAACTGCGGCAGGAGCAGCTCAGTTGCCATTTTATGACTTACAGATAAAACTGAGTTGCCATCAATCACAATAAAACGGTAATTTCATCATTCGTATTGTTATAGTTATATATATGTGCGACTGACGGATATTTCCATCATTTGCAGTTGAGCCATAGAACTTCAATGACGAAAATATCCATCATCCGCAGTTAATGGATTAATAACAAGGGTAACATTGTCTTTTGGAAATATTGATCTGGATTTGTTTTAGTCATACTTCTTGATTACAAATGGTAACTTACAGAGGTTTGAGTTATGATGTTACTTGTTTAGATAACTTGGATTAACTTTACATTTTTTGTTAGATAGTTATGTTTATGATATGTGAAAATTACAGAAACCCAATAACCAAAATGTTTTTGAATTTGGAAAGTTACTTCTCTTCTTCAGGAATGAATTCCCCAATGATCCCCAAGAGAAAAATGAAGTTAAGCCTTTTCATGATACAATTGTCCTTCTTTAATTAAGTTTAAATTTTATTTTTGTATCTTATAATTTTTCAAAGTAAGTAATCCTGTATTTAACAATCTAATAATATCAAAGTATAATGAATTCATGAAACATTTAAACTAATACTACTATCACTTCCAAGTTCCAAGGTGTTTAAAGCACTGATGAACCCATTAAATGAAAATAGAAAATCATTGGCACAAATGCTGTCATCAGTGTCAGTGCACAAATCAATACTAATTCTAATTCTTGGAAAACAGCAGCATGTCATGGCGTTTCTTTCCTCTTTTTTTTTTTTTTTTTTT